TTTCCGTTGGGTACCCCTGTTCGAGGGATTCCTAGTCGAATGGATAACGAAAGCAACGCAACTTCAAATACGAAGTAAATGAGGCAGTATCCGTAAAGTGGATAGCCCGGGGCCGATTGGGAATCGATGCACATCAAAAGAATGCTAAACCAAAGAAGTCCTGAAGCTAGCGCAAAGATCTACCCGATATATAGAGTCAGTTCTATTCTCACAATACATCAGAGTATGAAAGTAAACTAACGATGAAGTGCTGTGGCGGAGAGACTACAGCTTTGGAAATTGAGGCTAATATCAATATCACCGAATCGCCAACCTACAAGTTCAGAAAAACACATTAGCACTAATCACAATGATAAAGTTCATTTTTAACCAGGAAAGTAACGCCATGTATATACACATAGAAACATAATTGAGCAACCCAGTTTCCACTCACATAAGTTGCCAATACGAGGAACATGATACAGCCAAGCGTAATTCTTAGCCCTTTCTGATCTTGGGAAATGGATTCATTGATCTTATGTGCACGTATACTTCTCACAATAGAAGCACCAAAGTAGAAGGTTGCAGCAATAATCGGTAGAAAAGAGTGTAGGAACTGCAAAGCCACTAATTCTCGGGCATGGTCGAGATTGGACTCCATCGTGGCGGACAACTGTTGAGAGGATGCACGCAAGGCTAACCGGGAGGGGGGGGGGGGGGGGGGGGTCTGCCGCAAGTCCACGGACAGCTGGACCGTATGAAACGTCACACTCAAAGAAGGTAACGGTCTCTTAAGCAGATGAATTACAAAATATATCGGAGAAGGGAGAGAGAAGAGACGCGAACGCAGGCCAAACTCCAGGAGGTGACGAAGCGGATGTGCTGTCGAAGGGCGTTGGAAATCAGCATAAGTCTATCATGCAACTGATAAAATGGAAGAAGAAGACGACGACGACGACGACGACGTTTGTTTATCAGCACACTGTGGTCAAAAGCAGAAAGACAGCGCCGTGGCCAGAGGCTCAGTCTCGAGGAGAGAAGGCGCGCAGCAGAGACAACAACAGTGCGATATATAAAAAAAAATAGCGAAGAAGCAGCGGCAGAGGTGAAGGAAGAACAACCAACGACATGCAGCTTTTTGGAGGGCGAAAAAGACGAGCTGCCCGTTTTTCCGGGCAGGAGTCACAAACAGGCTCAGGCTCCCAATGGGGTATATAAAAAGAAAAGGAGAGAAGAGAAAATGGGAGAAGGCAAAAATTACCCTTCTATTCCCTCTGCCTGCTCTGGGTTCCTCCGTCTATTGTATAGAAAATAACTCGGCCATAGCAAAGGCTTGAACACCAGTCCCTCTATAGTTTCAATTGAATGAATATGAATAGTGCGGCTCGTCCCAGAGGAATAGAACACGCACGGCAAAGAACAAAACAAACGTGCAAGGGGAGGAAAAAAGGAAAAGGTGAGAAAACAATTATAATGATGAACAAGCTACCACAAACGACAGTAAATCCAAGTCAAGAGCTCAAAACAGTGAAAGGGGGAGGAAATAGTGGGCTGGTAAGGGCTGCCAGTCCATGCCTCCACATGTAAAAGGGTTGGATGGGCTAGTTTCCAGGGTCCAGGCTTGTTCCCCTCTTTGTTCCACTCCAACTATAACGAGGTGGACAGCTGGTGGGCAAAAAAAGAAAAAGTAAAGTAAAAATAGTGCAATACAAGGGGAACGGGTTAGAACACTTAGCATTAGATGACGAAAGGGGACACCGACAACCAGCTGGGTATAAATAAACTGAGCGGACATGGAAAACCAAGGAAGATCCCTGTGCTTTCTGGGGGATACAAATGGTTAAACAATTAGGTTAAAAATCTGGAGGTAATCGCCTCTCTCATACAAAAGCTCAAGAAATCTCTGAGAGCTAGAAAAGAAAGAAATCCAACGACATTTCGAAGGTCAACAGGAGTTCTGGGGTTGATGAGAGAGAAAAAGGGCGTTGAATTGATTCGGACAAAGCGAGAGACAGAATGCTGTTTTTCTTGTAACCTGATGCAAGGTCTGTTCTTCTTTTGCTTCCTTTCCTAATTTCTTCCTCTCTTCTTCTTTGAGCTCAAAGGGCTTGCAACTGGCAGTAAGGAGAACAGGGGCGAACTGAAAATATGCCTGCCACCACACAAATGGATGGATGGATGGATTGTTCAGGTCAGACGAGAAAATACACGTCACTCAGGCTGACTGTCGAAGGGGAATTGGATTTCGTTGGAGACGTGAATTCAAAATTGCCGTAACGTATCATTCTGAAGATGTACCCTGGTCAACTGTAGCTCATCTTCATCGACATGCAACGGGGGCAGAGCACAAGTGGGAAAAAGAGGACAGATAATAAACCCACGAAGCTAGCCATTGAGGTTTAGATGCGTAGCATGTCATCACTGTCACATTTCCATCTCCAAGGTCGTTTAATTACCAGGTGATAAGAGAGCAGCAAATTTGCGTAGGAGAAGAAAAGAGGAAGAAGGTTGGGAAGACATTATACTTGTTGTTAAATGAAGAAATTGTGCCACGACGTGGAAAATATATCCCCTGTAAGCAAGGAAATTTGCCGGGCAAAAACAGCCTCAAAAACAAAGAACGGAGATGATATTCAACGATAACTTTTTCAGAACTACTGACACTGAACAATAACATAATACCATAAGTATATTTGGTTATGCGGATAGTAACCTTGAACTTTTTTTAAAGCTGCAAGGATATACATTCCGCTAACCAGGGACGGATCCCCTAAAGATGGGAATAAGGGACCGAGGGAAAAATGGTTCAATATAGTAATATGGCCCACCAGAAAATGGGAGGGATCTCAATTATGGCACTCCGGGGTAGCTAACTTCGCCATCATCCAATTACAGAGATGAGGGAACAATGCAGAGCGATGGATCGGGCATAGAGAGGCGATATCGGACGCATAATAAAAACAACAAAGGACACTTGATAGACAACTAATGATTCAGTCGAACATGTGTTAGATGATTGTACGTACACAAGCACCACTCACACAGTTCCCACAATCCTCCAGGGGGGGCAATCCGGGTCAGTTCCTAAATCTCTGTACCTGATGTCAACCTATTGGGGCCACCTCTGGGTCATCCTGCGGCCCAAACAGGGACCAATGCATGGAGAGAGGATTTGTGGAGGGAAATTAGGAACCATCGCCTATCGTCAGAGTTCCCCGCCCGGGGGGGGGGTGGGAATACCAATAGCATATGCAGCTAACCGAAGCAGAATTAACCGCCAGAGTGAGGAACTCTCCAACACACACCTCTACTACCAACTAAGTAACCCACAAATTCCAGGGATATCTCAACAACATATTGTTATATTTGAATATAATTAAAATTTTATATCTATCAGATAGGTAGATCATATTAAACTATCATATTTAATTTAAAAACTGATATGATAACTAAATTAAGTAGTTGAAACATATAAATCAAAGAAACTAAAATTTAAAAACTTTTGTAAATATGATATTATTTTTAATTTTCTTATTTAATTAAAATATTAAAGTATTAATAAATATTTTATAAATTACTAAAAGATATATTAAATATATTATATTAATTATTTTCAAATATAATTTTTTCATATTTATTAACAATGGTAGTGAAATTTGCATCTTTCTGGAGAGGAATTCAGCTACTGTAACTCAATATCCATATTACTAGAAGCTTGGTGGTGGTGGTGGTGGTAAAATTGCGCGCTTTGAATGGTAACATGCCTTGAGGTGGCCAGTCATACTACCCCAGTCAGGCAGCGCCAGAACAAGACACTGCTTGCAGCACGATACTCAATCATGATGATGATTGATACTTGCTGGCTACAATTCCTACCTAGCATTCTATACACTCCAATATCATGCTGAACATGTTACATTGTGAATGAAAATGAGTATGGGAATAGCGGTGTGCTCCTGGCAGGGAGCCGGTAGGAGGTCGCCCTGCCCTAAAATCCCCACTGCAGATGCCGCAAAATGGATCTTCATGGGCACCCATCCGGATGAGCTAGTTAGTTAGCTACCTTTGACTATTTCGGGATTGGGCTAAGCAAAAGAAGGGCAAAAGAAGCCGCAAATAGCAACCTGACGTGTGGATGCATCGAGGTGGCGTCACGGTTGGAGTCGAGTACTATGATGTCGACAACGGCCAGTGTTACCGCTTCTAAGGTATGAGTATGCTGATACTGTACGGAGTACTCGAAACACACATGATATGATTTGGTCTTCTTTCATACATTTAGTCGGGATAGTTATGCAGAGTATGGTTAGTCACTTTATTCTCAAGGGCTTCATGTGTTCTCGAAACTAAGATAGAACAAGAATAATGCAATTCTCCGGACAGGAGAAGATAACAGGGTAGCTATTAACTAGGTTCAGGTATTTGTTTAACTATCTAGTTATGCCCGGCGGTTGATGTGGTGGTGTGCATACTTTTCTTCTTCCGTTATATGCTGGCGAAGAATCAACAGCAAAACTAACCCCAACCCTAACCCCTAATCCTAATCATAACAACCCTGAACTCTGGTGAGAAAATGCCATCCTAATAATTCTACATATTCCCCATATGCAAGGGGCAAGAAAAAAAAATTATAGAAAAAGAGAAACTCCATAACACCCACCGATCTTTCAGACCCAGAAGAGGACGCAAGTCAGTCATGCTCTCGTCTCAGCGTTGACAACAACACAGTATGAAAATATTTGGGTCACTCAGTATCTGTCACTGTTCTTGTGCACCCATGCAAAGGAAGGACAACTGAATAATTAGTAACTCATTTGCTGCAGACGTACCCAGTATCACCGACTCCCAATGGTGGCGCAGCACAGAGTGATAGAAGCTCCGCGAGTCAACTGCCGGCCGGAAACAACCAGTTTCCCTGCCACCCAGCTCATCGTCTGCAGCATTTTTATATGACTCTTTGTATGGCGGTACCAACATTAACCGCAAAACAGGTGAGTCGAACAGAACAACATCCCGTCCATTCACCCTTTCACACCCATCTTCAGATCCCGAACAAGCCTCAACCCGAATTTCTCCTCCCCTATCCTAGCCTCTTCAGTCCTTCCATCAATCCCAAAAAATGGCTTCACAGCAACCTCCACCACCCCTTCAAACAGCCTTCCCACCACATCCCCCTTCAGCTCGTCACCCGTCTGTTGGAAGTCCGGGAACGCATTCAGCTCCAGCAGCCACACCTTGCCATGTCCGTCAACCAAAAAGTCCACTCCAAACAGCTCAAAGGCATTCGGTAGCGTTTGAAAATGCACCGGCATCCCCCGCGCAGCAGCTTCAAATACCTCACCTGTCACAGCACAAACTTGCTCGTATACGTTTTCCTTCCAACGGGCACTGTTGGAGCCCGAACCTCCTGCTGCCGAGGAGCAGAACGGGATAACGGCATCACCAAGAGCCCAGAATCGCCGGACCGCATTCCGCTTGGACACACCGTTACTATCTGTTTGCAGACACGTATTCGTCAGGTGGCGGGTGAGCTCCTCGGTGATGTCTGCACCTCTGTGCCAGGGGGGTAGGTATGGCCTTTCAGCGAATAGCGCGAGCATTTCCTTGTACACATAGACTTGCAGGGAGCCAACAGCCAGGACATAGGTGCGGATATGGAACTTCCGATTGGACTCTGATGGCAGCAAGAGAGGCGGGTGGATATACGGCTGTGCAATGAAGTGGCGCAGCTGAGATGTGATGACCCCGTTGTTATCATTCCCGTCGTCAGCATCATCATTATATTTGTGACCATACGTTCCTTCATTGGCGTGGATGTGGCTGTTGTCACTATCCTCGTCATGGTCGGAATCAGACTGGTCCTCTTCCCACTCCTCAAATATCGCCCGCAGGCTTGATTCGCTGTTGAACAAGCGAATGCCCCGGCCGCGATCACCCATCCCCGGCTTTAAAATCCACCACTCCTTCTCCTCCTCCTCTTTTCCCTCATTGGCTTCAAAGCTCTCCTGTAGTTCATAGGCCTCAACCAACGCCTCATCGAGAAATTCCGCGTAATCCAACTCAAAGCACACCGCTTGTTTAAAGTGTGTTTTCAAGATGCTGTCTGGATGCTTCGCCACCCAGTTCGTAATGATGTTTGAGAGGTAGTGTTTTCGAATCAAAGCTTTGCGAATGACATAGGAGTTTACCAATGATGTTTTAGGGTGACGTAGGACGTGTTCAAAATCGCATAATTCATATACTCTGTACTGTAGCAAGGGGGATGACGGGTCGGGAAGTTCACAAAGGGAAAATATCAACTCGTAAGATTTTCCGGGTAGTCGTTTTCGAAAGGCTTGGATCACAAGGGGCTGCACATACGAGTCCTGACATTCTACGAGAGCGTAGAATATTGGCTTTTTGACGAACCTGTGGGCAGATGGAAATGAGGCGAATAGTTAGAACGCACCTTCTACGGACAAGAAAGAAAAAAATAGATGTTCGGGAAATGTGCAAGTTTTGGATAAATAAGAGAAGGGAAAGAGAGTGAGGAACGATTTAAAAGTGCATATAGATACGCTGAAGGGAGATATCTATATAATCGTCTAACATAACGTCATAAATACTTAATCACATTGGGTCTCATACTCACAACTGGATTTCACCTGTATATCCCGGTGAGTGCATGAAATTTGCTCTCAAAGGGGTAACACTGTAATCACAAAGACGGTTAGCTATGACCAGGAAGACTTGATAATGCCCGTAGAAATAGTGAAGATGAGATTTCGCGACGCAGGAGCCCATAAAAAAAAGGGGAATCATACCTAGTGATCCCCTCCTTAACAGCCCATCCATCATTCCCTGGCGGACTAAGTTCCACACTCTTATAGACATCTGCAAACTTGGGCGCCCACTTGAAATGCATATGTCGATATTGTGGCGTTGTCGTCCCTGTCCCGGTCGACGTTCCCGCTGCTTTCCCTTTCTGAGTCCCCGCATCTAATTCCCCAGCTTGCCGTAGCTTCTGCTCCTGCAAATCTGGACCTTCCCCACTCTCCTCCGCATCAAGGGCCTCAAAGCAGCTCCCAGACGTCCAACGATTTTGCAAAATATCCGTATACAGGACCTTGCCCTCGCTAACCCCGGGCTCCAGGGGCACATTGATACTATAAAGATCAACATCCTTCCCCCAATTCTCGTACACATACCCAATCAAACGAACAGAATGCCGTGACGCCTCCGCGATGACGATGGGATCATGGTCGCGCGAGCTGAAGGCGAACGAGAGCGCAATAGCCTTGAGCCCGCACATAGCAGCCTCCATGGCACCGCCAATAGTCCCGCTGGACAGCGCGAAGACGGCAGTTGTGTTCCTCCCGTAGTTGGGGCCAGATATGACAAGGTCGATGGGCCCGCGGTCTTTGAAGTAGTGGAACAGTCCGATCTGGACGCAACTGGCGGGTGTGGAGTCAATGAGGATCCACTCGTCGCAGTTTGGATCGGGGTTACCGGACTCCCCCTCCGCGCCCAGGGGTAGGTGATGGATTGTGCCGTCATCCTTGTACAGGGTGCCTGGGCGAAAGTAGGTGGGTTTGACGGTATCTCCTACGAGGTGAGCTTTGCCGATCCATGACCGTTGCCTGTGCGGGAGTACCACGGAGACGACGTGGCCGGAGGATTGGAGAGTATGGACTAGCGAATGTACATATGGCGATGACTGGTTTGAGGGAGGCCCGTCATCGTTGACAACCTATGTGAAATGGGGGATATGTGAGCAAAGGAGGAGCGCACAGATGTAACGGATGTAAACCTTATTCACTCTAGCTAGAATTCTTGAGAATGTGGGTTTTTTTCTTGAGAAGTGCATAGAGACTTACAAGAATATGCATTGTCAATGGATAGGGAGTTTGTGCAGAGGCAGCGGGGGTGTCTGCGTTGACCTCTGTCTATATGTTTTGGCGGCGTTTTGCGTTGACAGTGCGGTGCGGTAGTTAATGTGGGGTTAATTTGTAGATGCGGGCGAGGCAACAATTAAATACTTGAAAAACTCTTTAGGTCTTGAACTGCGGTTCTTTTATTTTTCTCTCTCTCTCTCTCCCTTTTTTTTTTTTTTTTTTTTTTTTTTTTTTTTTTTGTTTTTAATTCAGATTCACTGCATAGAACCCGACTGGGTTGATATCCCGGTGACCTTTGCTGTCCTAGAAGAAGCCAAATTACGGAGTATTTATTCGGTGGTGAAAAGGGATAGGAAATGTTGGTTGACGCGCTTCCAGAGTTTCCACGCATTATTAGCCCCATGCTTGAGATGCTGTGACAACAGAGTGAATATTTACAGAAATTGCCTGTCACTACTACAAGAATTGGAGGTTTAAAACTAGGTAAAATAATCAAAATAAGATGGCACATGGTCCGTCTTGGTTGATTTCACTTGATTTATCATTTCTATCATAATGTTGCTGAAGTGAGGATATAAGGGTATCACCTGCAAACCAATCAAAGCAAGCGTTTGGTCTGCAGGGCCAGCAACTTAAAGCCGCCTATCCCATATCCTCTTCATGTTGAAAGCGTACATGGCTTCTGCGTCTCTGGACGGCTTGTTCCGCGTCCCTACCCCCTACGACTGTTTGCGTAGAACTTCCTGAGGCGGGAATATCTGCATCAGCTTCGTTGTGGACTTCGGCTTCTCTGACAAAGGGCTGAATCTTCGAGGATTCCTCGATATCCTCTTCCTTCTTGATCATTTCCACTTCGCTGCTCTGTTGTCCGTCATGCTCTAATCCAAGTCCTGGATAATTTCCCCCCTCTTCTTCGCTTTCATCCTCTTTGACGGCGACATCGCTGCTGCCTCCGTCTTTTTTCGCTTCTTCCGCTTCTTCCTCTTCTTCCAATTTTGGCCTCTTAATAGATGTTGCTTCCTTCTGGCTAGCTAGAGCCAACCACACAGAGGACGTACAGATCATCGCAACGACCCAGAATGTCGAGCTGAATATTAAGAACGACAGAATTCTCCAGTTATATATAATCCATCTGCCACATCACAATCATTGTCAGCCCGGGTATTCTGCCCATCCCAGGGACCCTCAGATTGCATGCACACAGCTTGAGCGTGCAAGTTCACTCTTATCATGGTGTTAAAAGAAGTTGAAATAGCAACATACCGTAGCCCACTAAACCTGGCATCAAACCTCACAGCAACATTATAAATCTGCATTCTCTCCACACTCTGAATTTCCAACCTCAACACCTTGGGCATCGCCTGTTTCTTCTTTCCAAACTCCGCCTGCTCCATCATGCTAACCTTCAAGCCCTCCGCTTCCCTCTGCCACCCAAGCACGTAAAGCGGAATTTTTGACACTCTCCTGACCGTATCCACCATTGGTGATGCATATGTTAGAATAGCAAACCGCCGAGATCCCTTAACCAAGTCTGCCTTCATTGACGTATTTGTGTTTGAGGTATCTGTAGTAGAAAATAATTTGAGGTCAAGCATGAAGTTACCCGCGGCGAGGTTAGAAGGGGTCCGCGGAAGGTATAAAATGACGCTGACATCGTATTGCTGGCCGGATATTAATTCCGCGCCTAATGTTGCAGTACCATGGGGGTGGCCGTCACTAATATGTTTTAAGATGGCTCAGTTTTCATAGCTTGCCGGAATATCTATTTCATTTATCCTTTTTCCGTCTAGAGGTTCGCTTATTTATTGGGTTGGGTTTGGGAGGAATAACGTACCCAAACTGCAAATGAACCTGCCGCTCTAGCCCGATCTGCGGAACATAATTGTAGTAGAAGATCCAATAAGCGGCTACAGAGATGCAGAATAGAATGAAGGAGGAGAGAGCAAAGAGCGCGGTGTTCAGATACGCTCGCTGGGCTGATTTAGAGACTATGGTCTGGGCAGTTTCTGTGATGAAGGACTGGAGATATGAGCTAATTGATCGTCGCCTGCTAGAGAGGAGAGGAACGTGAAGTTAATAATAGCGGGCAAACGAAGCAGAGTAAGCCGCACACATACCAGTGCTCTAGAGTATAGGGTCTGGTTTGGCCCTGTTTCATTGTCCATCCTGGCTCAATTGATCGGGGTTGAAGAAGTTGAGCTTGCATGAGACTTACTGTTGATGTTGTTGTTATTTACGGGAAAACTTGAACGATTGAACTAGGTTGACATGTGACTGAGGGTGGCGGTTGGGCGAGTTTGAAGGCAGCCACACCCCCAATAGTTAACTACAGTACCGTACAAGAACTAGATATCAAAAGGACACTGTCCGTCGAAGAATCTCCAACAAACTGTATGCGAAGCTAAACCTATCTGAAACGTAGATATATCTCATTGATGGACAACTTATGATATAGAAAAGGTGTTCAAAAGCAACGTTGCTACCCTCATCACTCCGAATGTAGCTCGCAATCTGACGCCATCCATGCCATTTCTCCCTCCCCGGTTAACTCTCAAATCAAACGGTAAGAGTTAAATCATAAATAAAGAATGCGTATGTGAATGCGAGAGAAAGTGTTTTAAAAAAAAAATTGTTTCGCAATCATTTCAATCAATAACGACAAGCATACTTAAAAACATGCATAACCCCCAGGGACAAATAAAAGTTAAAATAAACTAGAAAAAGAAGAGCGCAGAGAAGACACATGGAAGCAGAGCAATAGACAAATAGAAAAGGACACGAAAAAAAAGTAGACCGAGAAACCCCGCAGCCTGAACCCGTAGAAGCAATGAAAATAGAAGTTTTTAAACTACCTAGAGCCCTGGGAAAAGAAAAAGAGAAATTTAAACTATAGTCATGACATATAACCTCCAAAGTCACACTCACCCCCACGACAAGGGAAAGCAATTGGGTGTACGGAGTAGGTTTTAAGTTTATGTTCTTGCATCTAGTGCAGTTGGAATAATCAATTAAGTCAGCGCCGCCCTCGGGCTTTGATGTTGGATGTGCTGAAGCAGCACATTGAAAAGATTGCTAATCTGCAATGACAATTTTCGTTAGCGATCGAATTTCCAGTAAAAAATCCCACAATGAATAGGTTGTTATATTTCAGAATTAGATATCCCTTACCTCAGGCGTCGATTGAATAAATGGCAAGCGGAAGAAAGCGTAATTGCCATTCTGAAGTAGCTCCTGCACCGTGATTATCAAGCCCCAGGGATGGGGTCGATGAACGACCAGCCGCTCAAGGAGAGCCCGAATGATCTGCTCGCGAATATCCGAGTCTTGATCGGGCTGCTCAGACCCGAAAAGATGGAGGATGACAAAGCTGAAGTAATGCGTATGGCTGTTGGGATACCGCAGCTGATTGGCAATAGCGCTAAAGAAGTAATATCGAGCTTCGGGTTGAAAGGCCCTGGAAAGCTTCTCGAGCAAAGTTGTATGTGGGCAGTTGTTGAACATTGCGGATGCGCTACCCTTTTGACTAGATGTAACTGCATTTTGCCCAATATACATGACGAGCGCATTCAATAGGGTAACATCCACGTTTATCGGAGTGTAAAAATACCCTGTCTTATTGACAGCGGGGTTTGATACAGCATCACAAATTTGCTGAACCGCGCTGTCAGTTACAGTCGATCGGAATGCGTTATCAACTACATCGGTCAAATTCGCACGTCGAATAGAAGCAACAACATCACCAGCAACTTTGGGAGCCTTGCGGATTTCATCTATCCGTTCAATTTTTAAACCATCTCTGAATGGATCGGGTAGTTTCTGGAACGACGATGGGTACGCACTCAAGACAAGGTTTCGCAATTGCGCGCAGTGCGATGGGATGACATTACAAAACTGGTAGTGGTTCTCCGCTACGAACTCGGGAAAATCATGGTGGAGCAGAAGGAAAATGCGAAGAACGCCTTTGTATAGATCTTTTGCAACAAATGAAACATTGGCTGGCTTTAGCTGGTCGCCGATGTATGGAAGCAAAACTTGCATAATTTCACTATACGATTCCCACCCCTAATTTTAACCGGTTAGTAAGGATTTAGTCCGATTTACAAAGGCGATCTGAAAAACTTACCGATTGATCTGGCAGGTTAAGCATTCCAGATACGAAGACACGATGGGATATCAGTGCCAGCCATGCATAGACAAACCCGGGTGCGTGCTTGGGTTGCATGGACAGGAATTTGTCGGCAAAAACGGACATCATTTCTTTATGCTGGTCCGTCTTCTCCAAGCCACACATGGAGTATTCACAAAGGATGCTTGAGAAAAGCCTAAAAAACACCCGTTGGTTGAAACTGTCGCCCCTCATCACTTGATGGTGGTTCAAGACAAGAACCAGAAGCGAAAGGATGGAGTTCAAGTAGACTGGCTTGCTTGCCTTGACGGCTCCAGAGCTCTCGCCCTGAAACTTAACCAGCAAGATCACCAATTTCGCGAGCGCATCAATATATAAGAAGGCTTCATCGATGTTTCCATTTGGATTCTGACACTCATGTTCGAACATGGCTACAGAGATATCGATGCTGAGCCTAAAGAATAGAGCCGAATCTTCTTGATTGTTCATGACCTGTCTTTGGTGTATATCTTTCAGGAATGTGCTGTAAGTCCTGTCGTTAGAACTGGCAAATTTATACACGCCAATCCATTCACTGAAAATGTATTCCATCTGGTCTCGCTTTGAACGGGCCTGGTCCGTAAGAAGTGCGTTGGCTGTTTCTGGTATGCCCGATTCACGAAGCTTCCGGATAATGTCCTTAGCAACACTGAGATCTGGGTTCTCGACAACCCATTTATTCATCGCGTCTAGACTGCCTGAAAAGTCCGATCGCAGAGCAGAAGGTTCATCGTTCAGAAGGACTTGGTCGATAAGGTTGGAGAGCACTTCCAGGGCAGGAACATTCTTCTCCTGGATGAGTTTTGCGAGGATCATATCAACACGTTGAAGATCCAAAAGCCCTGCATCAATAAGGGCGACAGTGACTGGCACATTGAACATGTGTTCATCATCCACATCGGCAAGTACAGCCCAGGTATATCTAGCAACAAGGGAAGATAGTTCACAGATCTTAGCCAGTATGTGTACAAGAAGTTCGATTTCCAAACGGCTCTCGGTGCGAGAATACAACGTGGTGCATATCTTGAGAGCCACCAATCGCGCCAAATCTTCGCCGTTCGGTGCGGTCAGGATCGTGCGGAAAACCTGATTATAGTCCTGAAGGATGGCGCTATCGCGTCCAAGGTCCTTTAAACGCTCTTCTGAAACATTTCGAGCCGAGAGCTGCAGCTGAGAAACAAGAGCTTCTACTTTCTCGCGAGGGTTAGCATTGTCAAGGAAACCGTTCATCTGGCCTTGAGCAGCAGCGACGGCGGGTTGTTGCAGGCTGGATTCCTGCTGCGTTTGTGCCACGTGGTGTGGAACAGCTGGCTGTTCAGCCGGAGTGGATAGGTTAGGAATAGCGGGGAAAGGCTCCTGGAGAACGTCAGGAATTTGTTTCCCGGAGTCAGTCGATGCATTTTGAATGTGGCTATGACCGGCTCCCCGGGATTGGCGCGCAAAATTCTCATATATGGCCAGCTGTTCCTTGTTCAGGCCGCCAGGAACCTGCCTAAACGGTTCTGGGATGAAAAATCCCCATCGACTAATAGAAGGATCGATAAACGGTTCGTTAAGACGCGTTGCACGGTGGCGACGACGGGCTTCAAGTTGTGACTCGATGACTTTTTCTATCTCAGGGAGAGATTTCTCTTCTGCTGCTTTTTCAACGATACCGCAAGCCGCATCCAAGTTATCATTGACGCACATGAGGATGAGGCCTTCAGGCATAGGCTGATCGGAGAATTCTTGCTGAATCATTCGAATATAGTTTGTCATGCTCATTTTTAGGGGTTCCTTGCACGTAACAAGCGCCAAACTACCTGCCAGCGCACGAACCATAGTCCCGGCCGCTTGGCGAACTTTTTCCTCATCAGGTTCCATCGCGAAGTCTTTTAGAATCAGCTGGGCCGTCGAGATCGATGCAATTGTAATAGACCGTTCGACAACGGGTGTGATGATTTCGGCAATAGCTCGCTCTACTGCGCTATGAACGATTTGCCTCAGGACGCCAGGATCAGCCATGGTACTAGCCGAGGGGGGGAACACCAAGATTTGATCTAAATTAGGGAGACTGGAAATGATCGAGGTCGAGGATATTCTCTCATTCCGAATAACGCGGTTCATGTTGCTGAGTGACATATCCTCAAACGCCTCCAGACCTTCAGGAATATTTGCTGACGAGATGCCATCTTCCAGCTGTGCTGGCCGCTCCCTGATACAAGTCGAGGGCTCTATAGCCTTGTAATCAAGTTGCAGATCTCCACAAAGAACCTCGATTTCGAATTTGAGAATCATTTTCAGTTCCGCGAAATGGTATATCTCCATCAAAAGAGCAAGGATATCCATTAGCCAAGGATTGGGGGGTTTGAAAATCGTGGATTTCATGGCTTGCACTAGTACTTTGCATGTGAATGGTATGACGACCATGAGGCGTTGACTATCGAATGCTTCGATAAGGAGTTCCTTGAAGTAGATGTTCCTATGTTTTATCGGCTTATCTTTGGCTATGGTTAGAGAACCAAGCCATCCACCCAAATTTTTCAAATGCGTGCGCTCAGTCGCTGAGTTCAGGGTAGATTCTGCATTCAGCAAACGTATGGCGCTAACATAAGTTTCCCTGAGAACTTCCATCCAAAGGGTCTTGTCGCCGATAAGTTCTAAAAGGTCGAGGTAAAGTTTCTGAAAATTCGGTTGCAATTTTGCTCGTTCTTCCACAAGATATGAGGCGAACCACTGGTGATGTTCTTCCTGTAAAACATCTTTTAAATCTTTTAGCTTCACATTAATATTTTGTTCGGAAACATTATTTAAAATGAAGAGTATTTTGTCGTGAACTTCTTCATCTGGGTCACGATAAATCTCCGGGCGAAGTGGAGGGTCGACGTGAAGTGAAGAAAATTTGCGTTGAGTGGTATCAGTGGCTAGGAGGTCATCAATATTGCCATTAGTCATAGCCAAGCCATCGGGTAATCCATTCAACTCAGCTCCACCGTCTTCCTTTACTGGGTGGTGGCCCTGATCTCGGAGCACTTCTTCGGCTTTACGGTAGATTGTAGTTCCCTGGAGAGAGGGAATTTGCAAAAGAAGATTGCAAAATCCAGCCCATTCTGGAAGGCGGTTTATCAATTGTTCGATAGCTTCAACGCCAAACTTGTACATCGGTTGATGAGGTTCGTGTTCCCGCACCGCATCGAGTATCATTCCAAGGCCAACCTTGAGTGGGATACCGGAAATTAGCTTGAAATTAATAATTCCACCGAACATGACAGCTGTTTTGGTTAATGCCTCCAGTGGATATGTGTGGTAGCAGTTATATTCATCCACAAGGCCATGAACCATGCAAGTAAATAAATCCTGCTCTGCTGGGTCGCGCGATGTTTTGTACCGTCGCATCAATTCGAGGATCTCGCGCAGAGAAAGTTCTTCGTGATACATCTTGCCGAATAATTCTTGCATCTGCTTATCGATTTCTTCCGGAATTGCATTGCCATGGGTTCCATTAGCCTCGATAATATCATCGAATCCTTCTCCATAGTTTATCAACCGTGGATAAGTTTGTAGACAGATGCGTTGGATTGGCGTCAAGGTTTCATGATCCACGATGTAGTCCTCAAGAATCTGTAGAAGCGCATAGACTGTTTTAACTGACAGGCTAACCATTTGGGGTGTTGGCTGTTCTTTCCTTTGGACACGTAGTTCATCATCGGCCTTGATTTTCAAGAATTTCGACAACAGGCTCCCCATATCGATAGGGGCTTTTTGAGCAGCTCTCTTGACCCACTGTTCGAGATCATAGTCATCCTTTCGGTGTGCTAATGACGCTAGGTCCATAGCTAGACCGTTGGTGAATTCCAAAATGTAGTCTAGCCAGCCATGTTCCACAGCATGCTCGTAGATACGTTCAGTACACGAAGGGTCCTGAGTAAATCCATGAAAGAGTTGTTCTACCACCCACTCTCGATTGAGCTTCCAAACACCATGAAGCGCAAATTGGTAACCATCTTGGCGCTTGGCGACGAAAATAGAAAAAGATCGCATGACGAAGTTGATTTGAACGGTGCTCCATGGTTGAGGGATAGCTAACGCAGAGCACAGGAATATAGGGAGATCGTGCTGAAGAACTGTTTTGACAAATCTTTGGCTGTCCGGAAGGCTCCATGTTCCGGGGGTTTTAAGGACGAGATCAAAGATGGCTTTCACTGTGTCACGCGAGCGAAGCAAGCTATGTTGGGCCTGTTCAGCTTGCTGACGAACAGTCTCAGAAGCATCACTAAAAATGTTGGGAGAGAAAGTTGGATGAAAGTTAGGAATGCGTGAAACGTCGATGTTGGCGGAGAGGGCTGCTGATAAAAAGGACAGCTGGGTATCTCGGTTTTCCCATTCTCCACTCCAAAGCCGCTGAACATCGACAGCCGGATTGTCGTTGGAAACAGCTACGAGAGCATTGAATAGTCGAACAAATTGATTCGGATCGATGACCAGGCCACCCCGGTCAAAGGCCTGCATGAAAGCTGACCAATTGAAAGGCTCGGTTCGTTGGTGGTTTTGGACAGTGGTGAGAAGTAATTCGGGGGAGAATTGGAGCCAGTTAGGGGAAATTATCATGTATAAAAGAGTGGAGGCGATCTGCTCTTCGCTCCAGCCACTGGGGCCAATTGAATTTATAGTCTCCACGATGCTGTCTTGACTGTTCATCGATTTGGGTCCTCGAATCTGTATTTGACGAACTAGAGACAGCAGGGGATCAGATAATCCGAACATCTGCAAGACGGATTCAATTTCTGAAGGCACGTCCATGTCTGTGGATTGGTATCGCGTCCGGCACGCGTATACAAGCTTTTGTTTAATATCGTCGTCGAAATTACGAGGTGGGTAAAGGATAAAGCGTTCTAGGGTGAGACTGATAAATGACGTGCTGAAATCTTTGTTTGATTCAGAGATTGCTGAGAGACTATGCAGAAATTGAGGGGTTGAGTTCGTAAGGATGGCATCAGCTACAGACAATTTATAATGGTCAGTTTTGTTCTGTGAATTTCTTGTCTCGGGGAAGGGAGATTAGGATAATGTAAGGTAGGGTAAATTAAACTGACCTTTTGTGCGCAAATCTGCCTTGCTGACATTTTTAAAGGCAAGTGTCAATGAGACTTTGGCTATGGGATCTAATTTGAAGTGGTCAAGGAAAGTTGAGAGGTCAAAATCACGAAATATATCACCATCAGATGCATCAATGGTCTCAGCAATCTTTCCGGCTTGCTCCAGGTCCTGTGACACTTTGTGAACCTCCTGTACTAGCAAAGGATAGTTTCCTGCATTTTCCACCACCTTATTGATCCCTGGGAAGATCTGGGGGGCGTTGCCAGAAAGTAGGCGACGAAAATATTTCGCAAAAACTTCCATGCCGTTTGAATCAACCAGCTTGAATAGAGCTATTAGCTATGGGTCATGAAATGACGGGCAACAGCCCATGGTGTGGCATGATACTTCATAACGCGTACCTTGTGAATTTGAGCAGCTTTAGTTTCCCACTTTTCTTTTCCTTCCTTCTCGTTGATGGAATCCAATAGGAGGAACACCTGAGCAACGGAAATTTTTGACAGAGATGACTGGCTAGTGTTAACACCTGATGTCGCGGCAGATCCGGACTTGTCAGATGGGAATCCTGTCGGTGAGTTGATTGTTGTCCCCGTCAACAGTGGAGAAAACGCAGCACTCCTGGATATACCCGCGCCACCAACTCCACCACCTCCACCTCCACCTCCACCACCACCCCCACTGCCTCCGCTTGAAGCCGTCGAGGTAGCCAGATGCGAGGTTGAGGAAGGTGTGAGGGATCTAGTTTTTGGAGATGAGATTGTTTGGCCTGACTGTTGTTGCTGTTGTCCGCCAGTTTGTTGAAGCGAGGAGAAAGATACAGGTGTAGGTGCAGGAGAAGGATTCCTTCGAGTATTGGACAGGCGGGTAGAGGATGACAGGATGGCGGAAAATGTGGACGTCAGGGGAGATGTTACAGATGCACTGGGAGCTGGACTCTGAGATTGGGGAGGCCTCTGGGGAGGTGATCCACTGATGTTTGAGTTGGAGAGGTTGGTGCAAAGGGGAGCGGGACCACGGCGGACGTTGGATTGGGACGCACTGGGACCCCAGGCAGACGGCTGGGATCTTGCCGTCCTGGAAGCTGATGGCTTGTCGGTGCCAGAAGCAATCAAAGATTGAGCGGAAGAAGGGAAACTCATGAAGTAGGGGATGCGGTCATTTGGATTTGGGAACGGCGAAAATTGTGGGAGTGGTGGAAGGCTCGACGAGGAGCTGACAAACCGAGGAAAATGGCACAATAGGAACGAGGTCTATTTGGGGGCTTTTTCTACGATGTCATAGAGAAGTGTTTGGAAGGGAAAGATGGGCTGGAGAGGATAGATGGAGAGGTTGACGGGAGTCTCTTGGGCAAGGAGTAGAGATGAGGTTGGTCGGTCAGGTGAAGAGGCTCTGTAAGGCGCTTGGCACCAACTCTGCTTTACGCATTCACAGCCCTTGGTTGGGATCACATAAGCAGATCATCACATGAATGGATGAAGGTTAATCCATCCCGGGGCTTAAAAGCTCTTCTAATAATTGGGAACTAACTAGTTAGTTAACTAGTTAGTTGTTGAACAGCTGATTACAGTATGAGAATTTCTCTTGGCTTCATGATTTCACACTATATTGAACGTCATTCTTGAAGATACTTATATGTTGAGGTAACCTTCTGTTATTTCTTCACTATTTTTTCACTCTTTGAGAATGAGCTGAATTTCTGAGAGACTTGATGAGTCCTGTGAATATACAAGAATTATGTAATCAACTCTTCATGACTTTTGGACTGACTAGTTAACGACTTCTTCTTATCTGTCTGAAGATGAAACTCAGCAAAAGCATGTAAATACAAAAGACGTTTCTGGATTCAGCCCTCATTTTGTCCTTCTAATAAAAAGGACCATGTCATTGTAGACTGTCTCGTTCTAGTAGCAATTTGTGGCATGCAAGCCACACACAAGCACAACGCATAATGTTGTCCCAGGTTCCAAGTTTGCTTGGCGGCGTTGCCCCGAGAAACCAGGTCATGTAAACAAACTCAACGCCTCGAACTTCTGCTTACTATCTATCTATTACCTGCTGCGACGCTTCCATAACGACGACAGCAGAGGGACTCAGGAAATGATAATACGGACTGCCTCTTCTCCGGAACATTAAGTCCTTGCTGCTAAATAAAGGCGTTTTATTTCTTTTCTGTTCTTTCCCCAAATACATACCTTTTTCGAGCTGCCGCTGGTCGACACTGCTTGAGAGATATCCAGCCCCGACTTCCTATATCCGTATCCATAAGTCTGTCTCGTGGTTGGAATTTACCCACAACGGCCAACGATGCCTGGGCCAGTCTCGGAGACCCCAAGTGTCGCGTTATCCTGTATGATTGCAGCCATTCTCCTTCTCAAACACTGTGATCGAACGAAGCTGAGATAGATCTTTTCAAGTCGCGAACAATTTCTGGGGTAAGGATGACGCAGGAGTGGGGCCAATGTTGGAGCGGGTTCACAATGCGAAACTTACCTGCGATGAATTGAAAGCCTTCTATAACAGTACGTGATACTAGGCCACTGTTATGGAAGTGATGTTCGGAATAAACTGTTCTAACGAACCTCGTGTTGTATACAACAGCCCGCGCAGCCATCGAAGATGAATATGCAAGAAAGCTCCTCGCTCTAAGCCGGAAAGCCCTTGGTTCTGCGGAGTCTGGCTCACTGCGTGCGTCGCTCGATACAGTACGTGGAGAGACAGAGGCAATTGGCAAGACCCATGCAGCCATTGCTGCCCAGATTAAGAGCGAATTAGAAGAGCCTTTGGCGGCATTTTCTGGTGGTATGAAGGAGCGACGAAAGATCGTGCAGAATGGCATTGAGAAGCTCCTTAAAACCAAAATACAGCAGACGCAAGCTGTCAACAAGGTATCCAGTCAATTCTACCATAGGTTGATGCTCCTAGGAATATTAATCAAGGATTTATGGTCTAGTCGCGGGATCGCTACGAGCAAGACTGCCTCCGAATCAAAGGCTACTTGGCACAAGGACATATGGTGATGGGTCAGGAGGAACGCAAAAACAAAGCAAAGCTAGAGAAGGCGCAGATACAACTGGCCACCAACAGCAGCGAATATGAATCTGCCGTAAAAATTCTTGAGGAGACAACTGGTCGGTGGAATAAAGAATGGAAAGCTGCCTGCGACGTAAGTTATGGATTCTACATGCTCTGGGTATATGCTCTAACTTTTATGATAGAAATTTCAAGACTTAGAAGAAGAGCGGTTGGATTTTACGAAGAGCAGTCTGTGGAATTATGCAAACATCGCTTCCACAGCATGTGTTAGTGACGATGCCGTAAGTTTAGCTGCTCATTCACAATTTGCAATATCGTTTCTAATGGAAGAAGTCCTGCGAAAGGATCCGGGTATCTCTCGAGAGCTGCGAGGTAGAAAAGGATATCAGCAACTTTATAATAGAAAGAGGAACAGGGCAGGAAATCCCTGATCCACCCAAATATATTAACTTTTGTCGTGGGGATCTTAACAACACTTCTTCAGATACATCCGAAGAAGAGGGCTATTCAGTTGCACAGTTCCAACGGGCCATTAACCCAGCTTACAGAAGCTCTTCGCCCGCACCGTCTACTTATGAATCCCATCATGACCCCCAATCCGAACTCGCGATGAGGATGGGAGGACATGCTGCTGATCCGCCGACGCCAGCAAGCCGAGAAACTACCGTAACTCCGCAGAGGCTACAGCCATCGCAGGTACAACAACAGCAGCCGCAACAACTACAACATCCACCACCTCAACAACCACAACAATCACAGCAACACCTTCAGCAGCAGCAGCAGACGCAGCTCCCGCCCCCTGACCTTCGACGTGGAGTAAATATTCCACCCAATTATCAACCAAGTCAACATGGAGATATCCGAAATGTGCCTCACAACGAATACCCCACAGATGGGATGACGATGTTCTGCAGAACGGGACCACCGTCCGAAAGAAGTAGTGGAACCAGTGGAAATAGGCCATCTAGCAGGGGCTCTCACAGTGACATCTCCAATCCAACTTCGTTCTCTAGCATGGAGCCATCTAGCGGGAGACAGTCTCCGAAAAAAACGGTTAACGACACTCCTCTTCCTGGAAGGGTTGCCGACAAACAAGTTCAAAAGAAAAAGAGCACATTTTTCAGCAATAGTCCATTCCGGAGAAAAAGTAAGCACGATAAAGAGAACCCAAATGCAACAGTGGTTAACACCCCTACGAGCCGCAATACTTGGACAGCGCCGCCAAAACGGACAAGTCCGGTTAAGTCTTATGAAAAACCAACCAACGTCTCTGATCTCCCCTCGGGTAGCCCTGAACCTGTTGACCCTAGAGCCAATTTCCAATTGAACGTCGGCAACAATGTTTTTGACGTCGCCTCACCCGATGTCGCACCTAAAGCAGGCGCAAATGCAAACAAAGATGGTGATGACCTTGATCCCATTGCCCAGGCACTCGCAGATCTCAAAGGGGTAGGGAAACAGGCATCAGTCCGCGTCTCAGCCGACCGCTATCATGGAATCACCACCCCAGTTCCTCCAAGTGTCGCTTCTAGCCAGATGGGAGATGGGAATATCGCCGCTGCCCAGCGCGGAACTCCCCCTCCCGCATATAACGATCCATCAATGAAACGGCTTGGTGCTCCTCAGCCGGCGTTTACGTCAGCGCAGATGCAGGAAACGACTCGTAAATTCGTTGGACAAACGCAGGAAATGTTCAACAACAACCATACTCGCACAAGCCAGGTGGAAAACAGAGTCAACGCAGCAATCCCCCGCCCAACCTCCACTGCTCCACGAAGAAGTTTGAGCCCCCAGCCCTCGTCCCGTGGAGACTCACGCCAGCAGTACGACAACAACAGGAACAACCCAAGTCCCTCTTCCTATTACTCTCACTCGGGCAGCATGTCCAGCAGATATCGCCAGTCTCCATCAGCAACCCCAACGAAGGTGGCTACTAGTCATTCTTACTCACCGCAACAGTATTCTCATCATGGTTCCCCCAACGACCAAATACAACGTGCAATCTCACCTCAACCGCAATTCAGACGCCAGGATCGACCATCCAGCGCGAGTGGAATGGAGCTTCAGTTATCAAGTAATCAGATTGATCCACAAGGCGGAGGCTATATGAGTGATTTTAGTAGTCAAGGCGGTCGGCGAAGCAACGCACGACCCATGTCAACGTACTACGGCTCCGCACCGGATGTTAGCCAAGGTGGCCGTGTGAGAAGCCGGAGTGTAGCAACTACAGACGGTAATCGTCATCTTAGTTTAGATGGACGGCCCGTGTTACACTATGGTAAGTTAATTTTCGCCACTTGAACTTGTTCTTTCATGTCACTGACTCACGCCTCTTCTTCTCCTCTTTTTTTTATAGCACGTGCAATGTATAGCTATAGCGCCGCCATCCCTGAGGAGCTCGGTTTTGCAAAAGGAGATATCCTGGCAGTCCTCAGACACCAAGATGACGGATGGTGGGAAGCAGAAGTAACCAGTCCTCAGCGAAGCCACCCCGGCCTAGTCCCGAGTAATTACTTGCAGAACTGTTAAGGCGACTATGGCCTGTGGCAAGGTGTCGACGAAGACGCATGAGCATTCGGATGTAAAGCCCTTTCCATCCTGAATTCGATTACGAAACACCTACCAACCAATCCCTTTTCTGGTTCTATTTTCACGGACTTTGAGAGGTGAAATTTCTTCTTCTTCTTCTTCTTCTTCTCTCTCTCCCTTTTTTTTTTTTTTTTTTTTTTTTTTTTTTTTTTTTTTTTTTTTTTTTTTTCCTTTTTTCTGTTTATGGAGAGCATCATGATTTTATTTTTATTTTTATATTTTGTTGTTTCGGTGGTAGGAGAATGTCACTCTGATGTTTTGTTGATAGTCTATATTTTGATGACAAGGTCCCTTGTTTCCTCTTTCCTTTGTTTTACCTTTTTGTCTTTCACAATGACTTTGTCTTGAATTTTTGTTGGATCTTTTAATTACCTTCTGCTTTTTTGGTGTTGATTGAATTTCAACCGGCCAGTGTTTCCTCCTTGATTCCATTACGTTTGCTTGTTCGCTTTACTCTTGCGCTATTCCCTTTCCTTTTCTTTCCTGTCATTTTATTTTATTGGGCAAACGAAATCCAAACGAAAGTGATGATACTTTACCAAATTGTTAAATACCAGAGGGTAATGGATATTACTTTATTGACTTTATTTTCTAATATAGGCAGGTGAAAGAAGCTATTTTCCTCGGGCAAACTTGTGTTGAGAAAATAATAATGATTTCATTTGCTGCAAAAGAATAGAGTGCATACATATTTGCCAGTTGAGCAAATGTGAGTAGGCAACAAAATGAAAAAGTGAAAGACAAACAGAAAGGGTGTTGGAACAATCACCAAATGTGGTTTATACAAAATTAGCTGCTGTACATAGATCCCCTCATTCTCTCTACATCTCCACCCCCGGTGATCCTTCGGCTCAAAATCTCCAAGGTGCCAATATACAATCACAAGACGCCGTGCAACTAAGAGGATAATGATCGCAACCGCAAAACAGAATACAGTACAACAAATGAACGCTTCAAAACCCAAGCAAGAAAAATGATCAATAACCACGGAGATGGGGAATCTGGCTGAACCGGATTTACATGGGAACACAGGAGGAAAGAAAATGTGTAGTGAAGTAATTAGGATTACCCACATATATATTTATATGTGTGTCAGAAGCTACGGTCAGCTGGTTGGATACCTTGCATCAGTATCTCGGAAGTAGGTGGGTAATCTGTAGCGCATGAGGATGGGTACTCCGTACGAAGTGTGCAGAGTGAGCTCAGTGGGGGTATCAAGCGCAATAAATGGATAGGAGAAGAGTCTGTTTGTTCGTTATTATCTTTTCCCTTTCTTGAAGGAAGAATGCAAATGGCGATTTTTATTCGTCGTCAACGAAGGAGTTCGCGAGGCGGCCGAAAAAGGGTACTTCGTAGTGTTCGAGTGAGTCAACTGTAGCGAGAGGTGAGGGTTTGATCAGCCCTATTTTTGGCAAAAGGAAATATGCAGAGTACGACAAAGGGGGTAAAACTAGAGTGATCCTTTGTTTCCTTACCATCTCGATATGCGCGCATGCTTAGAAAGCTGATAAGGCCTAGGTCACAAACGAACAGAAGCCATGAAATTAAGCTTGACCAGGAGAATATAATGTGAATTATCTGAGGAAAAGGGGGTTAGGATAAGGGTGTTTCCGGATAGTATGTATATAGGATTTCTTTTTCTTTTCTTTTTTTTTTTTTTTTTTTTTTTTTTTTTTTTTTTTTTTGGTGTATTTATGTATTTGTATAGTAATATGGAGTTGATACGTACAAATAGCACAGTGAACAGCATGCTAGATTGCCAGGCGTGGAATCTAAGAAATAATCGCCCTCCCGTTAGCGATTACATCCAAGTCCTACAGACGGCTCCAGTAGATTGACAGGGCCTTGTGCTATTTAACATACCGCACATAGTCACTTTTATGCTCTACCAACAGCAAAAACACCCCCCCAGCCGGAGGCAGCAAAAGGTATGCGAGCATAGCCTCAAAGTCCATGCGAATGGGAAGACTGGTCTCAAAAGCGCCTAAGCTTAATCGGCCTCCTTCCACATCTCTTCCGAAACCCGTGTCACCTACCCCAGGTGCGCTAAAATGGCTGGGTGAGGGTAATCCGCCTGCTGGGGGGAATGAAGGTGATGTACGTTGGTTCTGGCTCTGGGTGGTGGGGGGGGATTTTGACCTGTTCGCATCGGCGAGGGGAGGAGAGAGCGCCCGCTCGATCTCCGGGGATTGTTCTTGGTAAGGGGCGAAATTCATGGTAAGAGGGCGTTAGAGGGGATACCCATAAGTGCCTTTGTTTTTCTTGTTATCTGGTGAGCTTTAGAGAGATGAGCTCTTGGAGCTTTGTCTTCTATTATTATCGGTTTGGTCAAGAGCTTTGGATGGGTTGTTTGGTACGCGTAAGAATGGTCTTTGGGTGTATATTTAACAAGCGGCTTGGCGTGCCTCAGCGGAACTCATCAACTTCTACGGTGGGGTTGTATATCAACACTGATCTCGAGCACAAATAAGAGGTCATTTAAGTGAAATGATGTGTAAATTCTAGGGGTATCATTTAACTTCTAATTTAATAAGGAAAATATCAAGGCACTCTTATATTTTATCATGATGGACCCCGCACCCTTCCCCTGGCTCTCGCAACGCTGGATCCTGTTGTAGTCGGAGCTGTAGGCCTTCGAATGCCAGTAGTTCCCCGTGTCGTCATACCCTTTGTCATAGTCGTGCCTCTTGTCGTATTTGTATCTCGTGCCCCGCTATACGAGCTTGCTGTAGAAGGAGTTCTCCCAAGTACACGCGATCTCCCACGTGTTGTCCCCCGTGCGCCCCTCGAAGCAGCCGCAACAGCTTTCTTTCGCTCCTCCTCTTCCGCTTTTCGAGCCACGGCCTCTCTCCGCTGCTGGAGTTCCATCTCCTTCCTCTCCGCCTCCTGCTGTCTCAAGATCAATTCGTTTTCGATGTCTGCGATATCTTGGGAGGCTCCTTGCCAGGAAGGGTTAAGGATAAGTCGCTGGTTCTGTTCGGTCTGGGACAGAATTCGTGTCCATGTATTTAAAAGCGTAGATGCAGATGTGACGGTGCGGGAAACATTCTGGATAGACAAAGTAAATAAAGTGCCCTAACAGCATGTAACGCAATGCCAATTTTTCGACTGCCATACCTCCATGTTGCCTTTTGCACGCTCCAGGCTATCAATGATGCCTTCTACAACCCGATTGATATTGCGCACGCTCTCCAACTCGCTCTGTAAAGACGCCTCCCGTGCTTCCTCGCGATCATACTGTGTGCTATTACTTCGTCCATAGTTCGGGGCAGTTGCAGTTCGGGAATGGTCCGTGGGAGTTGGAAAACCAGGCTTTTTTGAAGGGGATGCCAACAGCTCCGCAGTGTCTTCGTCTGATAATTCCAGCTTCTCCATTTGTGCACGAGCACTGGACATCGCCATGGTGACAAGAGCAGAAGTCGAGTGATCTTTTACAAGAGGACAATTAGTACCTTGGTAGTTACCTAGATGGGGAATAGAATGTGTGGGTGTGTCTCTCAGTAATAATATTCTCCTAGATACCTAAAGAACAGTCTCTGGTGGGGTGTTTTAACGGCATAGAAAATGAATTGCGCCTAGGCGGCCGTTTGATTACCGTGAGTGGTTGTTGTTTGGGTGGGTGTCGTCTATCGCGCTAAGCCGTTCAGCCTCCCAGTTTTTCGCGTCTACCCGAAACAGCCACAGCCAACTCAACCAACCTCTCCATTACTCCCGACATCATCGTCCAGCCCTCCATCTCCTCCTTCCCTCGTTGCACGGCAACAAGTATACAAAGACGACGCGCAGCACCCCTTCTGATATCACTTAACTCTATTCATAATCGTGAATTACGCTGCTTCGCCTCTTTTATTCGAGTTTGATTGGCAATTACTGGACAATTCCAGTCTTAACCGCCCGGAACGTTCGTTGCTCAGCCGGGAGATATATAGTCAGAAGAGGGAATAAAGGAAGGCAGATATTGGCATGGCGACAACTCCACCCCCGCGGGTTATTGGAACACCGCCAACTCCGCGACATGGCCCCAGATTCGATGCATTCGAGCCGCATTCGACCCGCCAATCGGCCCGTTTAGCAAACCGACAGGCGTCTCGAGGTTCTCCGTCGTTTTCAACGCCTTCTACCCAGTGCTCACCCAATGACACCGACCTTTCGACGGATGGAATCTCGAAGAAAATATGTCCCATTGAACAGGATGCGTTCTCCCTGCCCCAGTCACCACTAGCTTCTCCCACGAGGAGAAGCAATCGGAAGGGGAATGGGACCCAACAGGTCACACAAGCCAATTCACTCTTTGATAACACCAGAGGGCAAACTCACCCTACTTCTCAATCTGTCTCACTCAGTTTGCCAAACATCTATGGTCAGCATACGACCCTAACGGCCAATATGCTCCCGACGCCTGCAAAAACTCCCCGCAAAAAGGCGGTCCCCGATCCCAGTGTGGTTGCTCGTACCCTATTCAAGAACGACACTAAACCCAACAACCATGAAATGCCTACACCTAAAAGGCAAAAGGGTAAAAAGTTTAAGGGGTTTTCTCTGGAAAGCTTTGAAGCGGAGGCGGAGATAGAAGCAAATGATAAAATTACAATCTTCACCGATTCAAGAGATAGAATTCCTGAAGTGCATGAAACCACAGAAAACCCTTTCCTTTGTCGACCTAATGATGGATCCACTTCAGCAAAGGGAATTCGGCAAGCTACGCGCGACAAGAAAATGGAGGAAGTCTTGCATCGAGACGACGGCATGCTTTACGTTTTGTAAGTTTTTTAGGTATAGAGATTTGCTGTCGTTCATAATCAAGTTGCTAATATTTGTTTACAGCCGTGGAAAGAAGACATTCCGAAAATTCGATTCCGACACAGAAGAAGATGATGACGAGACTGACCAAGGGCTTTTGGCTTGTCGGCCTGATCTTCTGGCCGAGGGTGGTCTCCCGCGTATCCGCCCTCTCACCCGTTCATCCATCAAGCCACGTCTGCTTTTCCCAACTGCGTCCCAGCGAGGAACAACACCTAGCTTGAAATCTGACAACAGTCAAAAGGCTGCGGGTCCGGTGGAGAAATGTGAAGCTGATGAACACGACGAATCCAGATCTAATAGCGATCTTCCTCATGCAAGCAGTGAAGATGTTCCCATAACATCACCATCCAAAACGACAGTGTCAACTTCCTCAACTTCTCTTCCTGGCCGCTCCCTCCGCTCCCATATCAAGGAAGGACAGGTCGCTTTAGGTTCAAACGCACCCTCTCAAACCAGTAATGGGACTGTAGCTCGCGTTAGCCCTTTCGCCAGATGGACCAGGACAAAATCCCAAGTGAGAAAGAGAGTCGCAGCTAAATCTAGTGACAGCGGGGAGCCTGCTATAAAGAAATCTCGCACACAGTAAAAAGGGAGATTTGTTTATGTTGTCGTTCGCTAGAGTATTAGAAGTCCCCATCTTACATGCGCAAAAATTTCCCCCTGTTTGTAATTCATGTCACATTGATTGGTTGCATTCTTTACCTTCAATCAGTACAGATCTTTTCTTTATTGCACCGTTTTGTTATGTCTACTGAGTTGTGCACATGCTCTTCTCCCAGGTTTCTTCCCCCCTTCTCCTCCTGCTTTAATCTATTTCTGACGAGATTACGACCACGGCAATACGGCATTTACTTTATTTCTATTATCACGGCAGCACTTTCTCACCTTTGCCCCTCTCAACGTCCGTTTGTTTTCTCATTTGAATTTTCTTTCAAGCATCCCGACCGAACAACCGGCTTGGCTGAATATCTGTCTTTACCTTGGTCATGTTCCAAGGTTTTTTTTTTTTTTTTTTTTTTTTTTTGCCACAAAATTAAATTTCAGCGCTCGTTTTTGTTGATTTACTCTTCAATCAAACCTAGTGTCTGATTCTAGGTTTTTTTTCCTTTTTGGTAAGGAGAAGGAAGAAATGTCTGTCTTCTACTTCTACAATGCCCGACTTAGTGTTTCCGTTTTCCTGTTTACAAGTACGGCGCCCCCCTTATACGTTTTCCCATTCGTCCCTCCATGCCTCCCTCCATTCATAGGTTTTTTTTTAAAGGATGCTCTTGTCCTGGTCCCCTAGTTACATAGCTGAAAGTACCAAATTGAATTATATTACATGTATGAGAACGGTGACTGCTGCCGTTCTATTCTCATTTCCGTTTATTTCAAATATGGAGTTGCTAATCTTCGACAAGACAAGTATCTATAAAGCCAGATTCTAGAGACCTTGATACAGAACAATGTGTTAATATCCTTGGTGGAAATAAGATATATTTTCATTCATTCGTGTAAAGAGTCATCTCATTTTGAGAAAAGCATGCTATCCAGCAATAACAACCACTACCACTGCCCCAAATCAAAAGCATACCTCATAACTCGCAATTACATATCTTGTCCGTGAGGAAGCCAGGGTAAGTTCTCAAAAAAAAAAAAAAAAAAAAAAAAAAAAAGAAGAAAGAAAGAAAATAGAAAGAAAGAAAAAAGAAAAAGAATTTGAAATTTTTTTTTTGAAAAATAAAAATCATTCCGGAGGGCGAGAAGGAGAAAAAGAATACCAACTCTATCATAAGAAGAATGAAATGAAAAATGCTACGCAATATCCAAGTCATCATCATAATCCACATTGTTATTACCAACCTCCACAGAACCACCCAGGCTATCCCTTCCAGCATCCCTGATGCCCTTGGCAGTAACAAATCTCGTCTTCTTATTAACAGCACCCTTCTTCATCGGACCCAACTTGACATTACTGGCATTTTTCGTCGTGCTGTCCAATTCCAGCGCTATCCGTGCTGATTGTTCCGCACGCCCAGAGTATTTGTCCCCTCTTTTACCATTTCCGGAAGTAGAATTGAGCCCATTACTACCGGTAACAACAGCAGCAGCACTATCTCGCCCAGAAGCGCTATTCGCATGTCTATGGCGAAGATATTCAGCCCCAACGGAACTAGATTGCCCAAGCGATTTTGCAATGTTGCGTTCCCGCTCTTGATCCGCGAGGCGTTTCTGCATGCGATCCAGCTTGCCGTAGCCACCGCGCTGAAAGTCATTCGCAGCCGCAATGAACGGATCATCTGCATCGAGTAGACGAGCCGCTGAGAAATTTCCTGGAACCGGAGGGGCAACGTAATACGTAGATCCTGTAGACCGGTCTGTCTGCGCGCCCTCAGGCTTCAGTCCATACCGGTCCCGATCTTGAAGTGCGCTGCTCCTGCTAAACATTCCACTGCGGGAGCCCGAACGCCCACCCGGTCCAAAGAGGCCGGGTCCGCTGTTCACTTCCATCCGCTTCGCTGTTGTCTTGCGTAATTGGAGGTCGATGTGGAACTCGCAGAATTCGGTTTTTCGGCCGTCGACCCACGATTCGCATACTTTTCCGTCTTTTCTGATGGATTTGCAGAATCCGAGGTCTTGGGATTTGCCAATTTCGAGAATAGTGTCGTCAGATGAGTTTAGGGTAAGGCTGAAGCGGTTAGTGTCGAGTTTGTTAGGTGGAGGTGGCATTATCGACGGGTTTAGGATGGCAATGACGGTGCCTGGGACAAGTTTGTAGTATCTGGGGAATGCAGTGGAGAAGAGGAAAAGATCTATGGACCATTTTAGGTCCGTCAGGGTGAGAACCATGTACTTAGAGGTATTTTTGGAACCGTCATCATCAAGATCTGTTCTTTTGCATGTGCCCTTTTTTACATCTTGGTGTTCCTTCGGGGTTGACTTCGAGGCGATTATGCCAAATACAACGTAATCGCCATCCGTGTCCGGGGGATCAAAATGAGGCCCTTTAATAGTTTTTAGAAGGTCGGGAATTCGCATTGGACTTTTGGAATCAAGGGTTCGGGTCAGGAATGAGTGAGGCAAAATGCGACTTGAAAGGCGAAGGCCAGAAAACGGCTCAAACTTGGACGGATCAGAGGATTTAGTAGGGTTCATATCTTGCACGTCTTTCCCGGTACTGTCATTGTTCGTCAGTGATGATTGTGCAGCACCCCCGTCTGCCTGGAGTGGAAATTCCAGAGTTTGATTATTAGCTCCTTGTACAGTGGTTGGTACTGTAGCAGAGGGACTTGCGTGAACGCTCGGAATGCTTTTGGTTTTCAGAAGTGCGGATCCTGGCCGATGAAAAGATTGAATGACATCAGCTCTAGTAAACTCCTCAACGTGGTATCCTCTTCTTGGAGACTCAAAGCTGGATGTGTTGCCTGATTCCTCCTTCGCCGCAAGCTGAAATCGCTCTATCTCCTCCTTGTTCACCGCAAACGCAGAAGTTCTTTTACGGTGCAGAAGTTGTGCCCTCTCTGTCCTGCTTTTATCAATTGATCTGCTTTCAGCAATCCTTTCACTAAAGCTCTTGGGTCTTTGTACTGCTTCATCAAATGCAATGCCTGTGCTTCGACTGGCTGAACAGTGTCCCCTTCGTAATAATACATCATCCCTGTATCCTCCCGCAGAGCATATTGGTCTCCCCGCTGGCCTAGAAGTTGGGGGGCGCCTTAAAGATATCTCGTTTCCTTTCTTCCCCTTGTCGATTCCAAGTATAATGCGTCGCGGTGAGACTGGTTCAGTAGTGGATACCACTCTCTTTGTGGGCGACACTGGTACCTGTACGTTCTCCTGTTGTGACATGTCTGCTGCTTTCCGTTTGCGCTCCATAAGGAACCGGCTGGATGGTCGTGAGGCAGCAGAAGCAGGTATACCGCCATTGGATCTCGCCGCAAAATCTGATGGTGTTGGTTTGGACTTGCTCTGCTGTAATTTCTTCAGTTTCAATCGTGCCTCAATCGCAGCCAGTTTCAATTGCAGTGTTTCCTCATCGTCATCTTCCTCGATATCATTTCCCAACCCATCTTCCAACAGTTGATGGTTGGCTTTCGTTCGCGCATACGGTGTGGTATCAATGTTTTTCGCTGCGGACTTGGCGGCGTGTCTACGGTTTTGTATCTCTTGAATTTTCTTCCGGCCATTTGGGGAACTCATGAGAGCCTCGTAGGGAGATCTGGGAGGCCAATGTAGATCCGCCACTTTTTCAAATCCGTTATTAAATTATGGGCTGAGATTGAAGTAAGGGTTATAAACATACTATCGTCAACCAAGCACCTGAGGTGACAGAAATCTGGATAATTTAGAAGGTAGGATTTGTATCGTTGCCCCTTTCTTGCTCAGCCCATAGCTCGTTCGTATCAAAACAACTCGATGCCACAGATTCATCCAGGAATTCACCAGCGACATTAAACCGTTTAGTTGACGGCGAGCAGGAGTAGGATAAATCAATTCACATATCTGACTCTGCGGCCATTCACATATCGCAGACGGTTGTCAGCTAACCAAGACAGTGCTATCTAAGTAGTGTTGCAGTGTTATGGTGTTGCAGTGTTGCATTTTTTGTTTTCATTTCATTTCATTATTATTCTTTTTTTATTATAAAAAGTTCAAGAAAATTAACCCGGGTTTCACAGCCGTTTCCGCGTCAATTTCGCGTTTTAGCCCCGACGCGTCAAGGGATAGCGAAAGTTTTCATTCCATCATCAAATTTTCTGTACTCAACTCCAATAACCTCCAACAACCCAGGGTCGACTCCGTATTAAGCACATCATGCATATGTCTTGATTCTACAACTGTATCACCCGCTTTAAGTAACTATGAGGACAAGATCTGCGCCTGCGAGGAACGTTTCAAATGATGAAGTCGACCAAAGCACACCCGCTTCTGTTCCTTCGAAATCTACTAAAACGCTCATCCTCCCCTCCAATGCAAGTGACGATGCTCGATTCATCTCCCTGGAAAATCCACGAACCGGTACCCAAAGTCGATACTTCTTTTGTCCCAAATTGGGTCTCTACGAGTTTACGGCGATATCCTCCTCCTCTTCCACTCCAAGAAGCACTCTCTTCACCGGGACGACAACAACAACAACAAAAGCCAATGCGAGTCCAGTAGCAGATAAACGCGAGGGTGAAGCACAAAATGGATGCTATAGGATGGTATCTAGTGGCTCCAGCGCAGAAGCAAATGAGGTCATTCATCAAGTGGTCCTGGACTGGGCACCAACCAAAGCGACAGTTGCAAAACACGCACAATTGCTCGTCACAACGCCCGTTGACCTTTTGTTTTTTCTTCTGCCGATATTAGCAGCTGCCAGTGGTTATTCAACAGCCCAGAAATTATTCCAACCGCTTGATGATATGCTCGATTTTCAAGATAACGTTTCAAAGCCCTTAAGACGAATTCTACTTGGCTCGCTCAGATCAAAAGCAGTGGCGAGAATGGCAGCTGTATGCGACACTGTTGAGGCTGGGGAGACAATGTATAGGCTCAATGAGGAAAAATTGGTTCGAGAACTGGTATCCAAGGCGGAGAGGATGGCGGCAAATGGGCTGCCACCAA